GATGTGGGGACTCTTCCCCCACTCTCCCCTCTCTCAAGCAAAAATAAAACAAATCATATCCTATAGGATTAAATGTATCCAATGAAAATATTTAGGTGTGTATATGCGTTATCTCATTGCATGCTAATAAATTCAATCATCTGTCCAGTAAGAAGGCTGAAATAAACCAATTTCTTCTGATTTCTCTCTTGTTCCTGCACTTACAGTGGAATGGGGCAGTTATATTGAACTTACTTGTTGATTGATTCTGAAGGATATCCAAATTGGCAGTCACAAATCAAACCTCAGAGTCTACATTTGCATGGCAAATTTTTTATCTACTGTTATCTTATGTACACTGACTTGCATTGGTACCTAACTAGCATCCTCTAAAATTCCTGTGCTGATTGATTATAGTGATATTTAGGTTACAGACTCTATCACTAATGAGAAATGACCTTGGGGAACCATATCCCCATCAATGAAGTTGGCATAGGATTAAATTTTCAGATTATGCTTGCTTGCAATCAAAGATCCAGACTGTGTGTGTGTGTGTGTCTGTGTCTATCTATTTGTCTGTGTCTGTGTCTGTGTCTGTGTCTGTGTCTGTGTGTCTTTGGTTATTCAGGTTTTCTCCTGCGTAAAATTGGAGGTGTCTTGGTGACGTTTTGACGAAGTCTCATTTGTCATCTTCAGGCTTCGTGCTTCCAGGAGCAATATGAGACCTCCAATTTTACGCGGGAGAAAACCCGAATAACCAAAGACTTACATACTAACACCTGCGAAAACCTCAGAAAACAAACAAATAGATAGATAGTCTGGATCTTTGATAGAAAATATATCTCCCTGAGATTGAAAAAAGAATATGAACCAAGAAAACAGCTTCTTAAGGATCCATGAGTAAAAAAGTTACAAACCGAAAATAATTTCATTTGCCCATTTGCCCAAATGAAGGTATAATTATTTAAGAAAGAGGAAGGACTTCTTTGGGCATTACCTACTCAATTCAAATTTTTTTCAAGGTCTTCCATCTCTCCCTGAATTTTCAGTTTGCACGGAGCTCTAAAACTGTGAGAGGTGCGACCTCTGGTGACTGCTGCAGAAATCTATTCAGAACTTATATACACACTTAAGTCACTCTCCCCTTTGCAGATGTGGGCTTGCTTCTTGCAAGTGTGCTCAAAGACTACAAGGGTGAAGTGCTACCTGGAACTTTGTGCAATTATTTAAAAGGCCTATACTTTGCTTCAAAAGCAACAATCACAGGCCCTAAACTTGTATTTGGATGCAACAAACATTTGGGTAGAAGAGAATGATCAGATGAGATGATGCTGATAAGATCAGCAGATCAGTTTATCATCATTTCAAATTATGATTACTTTGTAATGTAAAATTTTCCACTGTTGGACAAAGATAAAGGTAGCTACTCCTGTTGCTTGGGGTCAAGGGAAGAAAAGTATACAAGGAGAGTCAGGAGTGCAATTTTGAAAAGTAATTAAGAAGAAATTCCATTTAAACGAATGGTGGTAGACATCCGACATTAATATTTATCACTCATCAGCTGCTGGTATTTTCTAAATTCAGCAGCATTGCTAGCGAAACACAACAGTTTCAGCATATGAAAATTCTGGAGATGTGTGTCTTCTATTCTTCCACGTAGTATCATATCTGCATCTGCAAGAATATTTGTACAAAACATATTAGTGAGGAAGATGGAATGTGGAAATGTTTCAAAATTGGCTTTGAATTTAGGATGGGATTTATCTCTTTATCCAACTATAAACCATCAGTTTTCCTGAATATATAGTAGGTGAGTGCAGGAAGACAAGAAGAAAAATGCACTCACTTGTCCACAAGAGTGAGGTGGAAATTGGATGTGGGTGTGGGTGCACTGTCCTTTCACTGGACCATTCTTTGTTTTTGCAAAACTTTGCAACAGAACACAATAATTGGATTTAATGTTTCCTCCTTTTTAAATTAGGGCAATTAAAAAACAACTTTTGAGTTTCAGACTATGAGGCTTTGGCTTATGGGTGAAGAAACCAGAAAAACAACAAGGGAAAAACAAATTGTGGTGAACAGACTAGTAGTATGCGGTCACATTTTCTTCTAGTGGACAGTCTTCATGAGAACCTTAAATTTCCTGTGTAAATCAAAAATGATATTTAGTAATGTTCTTTACAGAAAACAATGTTCATGTAATCAAGCAGTTTATTCATCATGAATAAATTAATGGAATACATTTAAAATGAAAAATAGTTTCTTCTTTTTCTGAAAGAACAAGGTTTTTTTGTGGTCAGCCTAATAGCCCTGCTTTGCCCTGCATGAAAGTGAAGTGAAATAATCATCTTACAGGCAAACAGTATTCATATTTAACTTATAAAGTATTTTCCTGTCAGAAAGAAGACACTTCATGGTATTTTATCATTTCTGAAAAGATTGCTACGTTAGGTTCATCTGAGGATCAGTTGAGGACTAACTTTGAGAAAAGTCAGTTGTATAACTGCACTGTCAGCAGAAACACACTTTTACAGCAGATAAAGCCAATATTTCAGCTGCAATTTATTTAGATAATATATAGCATGCAATAGAAAGATTTAAAGAAATTAGCAGCAGAGTATTTTGTGTTTTATTCGGGTAAGATTTCTTAAGATTAACACAGTTTGAGAATTTAAAAGGATAATAGTGTAACAATGAAGGAGCCAAAACTCATCTTTTTTGAAATATATTCCATTTAATTCAATAAGCTTTATTTTCTGTCATTCTTCTTGGAGAAATAATAATATATACTAAATCATTTGAAGAGATCCTCTATGATAAAAATCAGTCAATAAACAGCTTAAACAGCTTAAAAATAAAGACTCAAGAGAGATATAATGCCATTTCCCCCAAATTTGCAACAAACAAACCAAAACAGTAAATGAAAACATTGTAGTCTTGAAGTAGAATAATTAATGCAGCTGCTTTTTGTTTGTTGGTTTGCTGCTTTTGTGTGGCTGTGTCCATGCATGTGTTAATTT